ACACAACGGCACATATGCCACCAGTCACACCCACCCAGTTTCTCCCTCTCCATCAGCCGACCGAACGACCGACCACCACACAAAACCCATCCGTCGTTTCACATTCGTACATTTGTGCTCAGGACAAATACAGCAAATGAAATGAAATTACAACACAACCAAACACACAGTGGTAATACGGCTACTACTCCAACGAAGAGCACCGAGAGCAGAGACACACAGCACAGCAAACGGCACACAATTGAAAAGAAGAGAGTCGTCGTCGTTGGTATTCTCCCGGCCAACGTCGTCATCACTCAGTCAGTCGTTGAGTTGATACAATCGGCATTAATGCTGATTCTATTGTTCATTTGTTTGTTTGTATGATTGCTTTGTTACTCTCCACCTCCTGTTGGGGCAATTCAATGCAATTGTTGGTGTTGTTGTTGTCGTTTGTGTATGCCAATGGTGGTGGTGCTTAAATTTAAATAACATTGTTGTTGTTGTTCTTCAGCTTGTGCATGGCATGGCAGGACTACTACAAGGGGCTATGCATGTGTATGCGTGTGTGTGTGCGAGTAATACATATATTTTTTGCACAATTTTGTTTTTTTGTTCTCTGTTTCCATTTCAATTGTTATATTTGTTTTTGGCATATTCATTTCTCTGATTGCAGAAGTATGAATGTGTGCGTGTGTGTGCAGCTACGTCGACGGCTTCTGTTGCCGCTGCGTCTCTTTCTCCGTGAGTATTATTATTGTTATTATCAAACAAACAAAAAAAGAGGGGGTCGTTAACGTACGTACCATTCATTCGGTTTGGTTGTTCGTTTCCATTGTGTTTTGTGTGTATTCCAATTCGTACTCGGTGAGTTGTATTTGGTTGGAATTGTTGTTACTGCAGCAGTGGCACATTTGCACACACACCCATACTCATACAATCGAAAAAGGGGATGGTTTTCATGGTTGTTTGTTATTGTTGTTGTCGCCAATTGCCATTTGGACGAATACGAATACGACGTTATTATTATTACTTGCTGCTGGCTGCAGCAGCAGCATTGTTGTTGTTCTTGTTACAAATAGAGAAGAAATTTGTGAAATGGAATTAAATAAAAGAAAAAAAAAATACGAAAAAAATAACCCCAATGCGTAATGTGAGTATTTATTTATTTGTTTGTTTCAATACATACACCAAATGCTATGTAAATATGAGTATATATAACACATAAGTGTGAGAGAGAGCCAACTACATATAAATAAATAACATTTGCCACAAACGACGAAATTAATATGATTTGTCAATGGACATTCACACTAAGATTAGTTTTGGGTATGCTGAGGATGATGATAATTTGCACACACAAAAAAGGAATACACCCACTTTTCAAATAAAATGACAACATTTGTAAGGGGAGAATTAGAAAATTATAATGTCAATAATAAATTAAAATTAAACAAATATTGAAATAACAAATTCTTAAAAATATGAATAAATACACACAAACCTTTTTTTTGAATTTTAAGGAAAATATAAAATTATTTTTTCTTTTTGTAGAAATGTCATCGAATCATTTTTTCCGTTATAATATAATTTTATATTTCCAAATACCCACCTCCTTTTGTCCTTTGTGAAACAAGTTCCTTGCAACGAAATGAAATTGAAACAAATTTGTTTTTTTTCGGTTTGTTTTGCTATAGAAACAAATGGAAAGAAGAAGCAGTCCTATGGATACAAATACGACACAATCACATTTTTTACTTGTCGTTGCGACCATGAGCATGCAGAAGCGGACAAATTGATTTTTTGGATTTTGAATTTGATTTGATACTTGAAATTAAATTATTTTTACGAGTTCTTTAGACAATTCAAATGGCTGAGACATGTTTTAAAGAGTTATATGTGTGAAAAAAGTCATACAATTTAAAATTTATTCGTATAATGTTTGGTTAAGAGGTTATGATTATTGTACGGGTTTTGTTAAACAAAATTATAGCTGCTTTAATATTTCCTCAGAACGTGTTAATTTTCTTGTTAGTGATTATTTTGTAAATTATCGACGAACATTTAAATTTGGTGGATTTTAAAAACGACTAGGATTTTATTTCAGAGGTATTCAAGCGGGACGATTGCATTCAGATCCTCATAGAAGTGACAATGTTAATGATTTATGGGAAGTTTTCAATTTGATAGAATTCGTAGAAAACTTACAAAACACCGATTGCAGTTCAGAAAGTCTTCTATTCGAAAACTATTTTTGCAAAGGTCATGATAATCGATTGTAAAGGTAATGATTCATAAATTTATTTAAAAAGTATGATCTGTCCATGTTAACAATACTTCAATAAACATATTTAAATGTATGTAGCTCAGATAACAAGGTCTTTAAAGTATTATCATGAAACATTAAAATCAAATACCAAACTAAAGAATATCAGGTTGGAAAAATGAGCTATCGAAAATGAAGCGTAACTTTTGGGTGCTATGCAGAAATATATAAAATAATTTCGGTTGGCAAATGCGTCTAGGACTATTGAAATACATTTAAAGCTGCTTTATATGTGGACAATACCCAAAGATCGACTGATATTTAAAAAATTTGGCAAGTAAATTAGGTGGCAAACCTAATTTGAACCCAACATAGAGCTAATTTTGTTGAAACTTCTGTCCGAAATCCTCACAATAACGAACTTAGTGGTACCAGATCATAGAACGATGTTGGTAATTTTTTGTAGAAATACAATGAGAGACAAAAATATATAATTACAGTCATTTAAAAAGAGTCTACGAAACATTACAAATATCGAAAATTATGCATGCTGGAAGGTACATTTGACACAAAATATCGAATTAGAGAGTACCCATTTAAAGAACTATCCAAGAAACTTGGGACAAATTTTTGGTGGGAAGATTTCCCAGCCCAATAAAAACCCAAAACTCCAAAATACAGCCAATTCAGTTGAAAAGCATATTTAAAGTACCGATAGAAGGAGTATCGTTATATAGAGGTTATACCCAAGAATCGTGATAATATATTTAAGAGCTCCACATTACATATTGTGAGCTGTATCGGGATTTCGTCACGAGGACATTGCATTTTATTCTGGGAATATGGTTTTGACAAACTACGTTTCATATAATCCTTGAAAATATATTTTAAAAAATCGTCCCTAAAAAAATTATTTAAAAATCTGCGCATTCGAAGCCCTGCTGATGGTCCCCGACAAAATATTTACAAAAACTATCAAATGTATAGAGTCTGAGACAAATTATACTTAAAAATCTACAAAATTAAAGCCCAAAAAAATATTTCAAGGCGATCGGAATATTTTTTTTTTTTTTAAGAAAATGTTTAAATAATCTACCCAACCAATGGTGTCATACAAATTATAACAAATCTACAAATCTAATGGCCCTGGGAAATTTATAAACGTTTTGTCTTAATATCATGGTACCTAATTAATTTCAATATCAGTTTCCAATGGTTTCTAAAAATTAAATTATTTAAATAATATAATTTCCAACTGTCTTTAACCTATTTTAAAAATTAAATAATATTAAAAAAAAATAATATTACATCGATCGTCTCTTAAAAAATTCCACGCTTTCGATTACGCCAGAAAAAAAAAAAACTTTTTAATCTATGCATCCGATGAACTTTTGAAAAAAATTATTCAAAACGGGTTTTTTTATGGTCCCATAAAATTATTTCTATATCAACTTCCAATGGTTTGTGTAAAAAAAAATATTTAACATGCAGCTAATGGAATCTGAAAAAATCTTATTTCGGTAGTCTCTGAAAAAATAAAAAATGCTTAAAAAATATATAATTTAAAAAATAAAAAAATCCACGCATTTTGGTATTCCTTGAAATACTAACATTTTAAAACTCTAATATTATTGATAGTCCTCACATATACTACTTAATAATTTCTGTGGGGCGTCGAAAAAAATAATATTCAAAAAATTTTAACTTGGACTTTACTTATATAAAGTGAGTAAAAGTCCATAAAATGTGAGAGAATATTTTCAATTGCTGGACATTTTAACATCAGCATAAGAAACAGTATATCAAGCAACCTGTTGAATGCACAAATTAAAAATTCGTCATATGTTTGTTAATGTGTACAAATAGTTCTTAATACGATGTTTTGCCAAAAACACTCTAAAATAATTTTATTTGAAAATGAATTCTTAATAATTTCATTTTAAGTGTTATTGTACAATGACGTAAAACGTTAATTTTTTATTATTCTAATTATTTAATTAATATAAAATCATTCTCTTTAATATTTTTACTTACAAAGGAATTCCCGGGTACCCGGGTATGAAAATTTTGAATTCCCGATTTTCCGGGAATGAAAAAAAGTCAGGAATTCCCAAACCCTGTTCATAATCGTAGAAAAGCTGTGAAAACTACTCCTTAACAATGTCCCCGATTATATAATTTTTGAATTCTTTTCATTATTCTTTAATAAATGGCTTTTTGTCTGAGAATATATTGTTAGGAGATATTCAAATCTAAATACTTCAAAGATTATTTTTTAGGTTACTCAAATGTACAAGTTGCGAACAAAATGTTTTTTACCCCACTATGATGAAATACTCTTGAAAATTCAGTATACTTTAAAATTCTCATATTCTTCATACTCAAGAAAATTCTAAGGTAGCCTTATATATAATTCTCTAAAACAAATTATGAATGTAAAGACGTACTCTATTCACAACCCGTAATAAGTCACCTTTAATAAATATATTTCAAATCAACAAATTATTAAAATGCATCTACCAAAAACTATAAATTTAAATATCAAATTTATAGCACCTGTCCAAGCACCTAAAGAAGCTCGCTTCATCACAACACATTTTGTTGGTGTTGCCCCTTAAGCATATTTTCCGAATTGTGGTATTTATTTAAGACAACATTGTTTCAATTCTAAAAACACAACACAACAGCACACCACATTCATCATCCATCACAGATAAATTGTTCATATTCCAAAGTGTATAATGTTTCCCCTCACTCTCCCGCCTAAAAAGGAGATAAATTCACATTAATTTCAATTCCATAAATTCTTCATTCCATGCGTTCCTCATACAACTGGTCGAACGAATTACAAATGAAAAACAAATAAAAATACAAAACATACAATGAGCAAGGAGCAATGGCATACAAACAACAACAATAATAACAACAACAGTACCACCACCAACGGCAATTACAAATCCGCTATTGCCGCTCGCACACACACTCACTCGACAATATCATTCCATCTCATTCGTATAATCGTCGCAATCGTATTTTGTGTCTTTGTTGTTACAATTGTTCGCTCTTTACGGCCATTGCAGGTGGGTTGTGTTTTCACCAATAACAGTTGACTCGGCACACACACATACATGGATATCAACAGAGAGCAGTAGCAGCAGTGCTTGGCATTGACGTCGACGCTGACGTCTTTGGTTGTTCTCCTCAATGGCAGGGGGAGCAGCCAGTCCATGCACAGTCACATTTAAAATACAAACATTCATTCGTTCAATGCAAACGAATGTGTGCGCTGTTTGTTGCTGTTGTTATTGGTGTCGTTTCTCTTGCTGTATGTGTTGTTGTTGGTCTGGCTGTTGTTTGGAGTACAATTGCCTGAGTTGGATAGGTTTAATTGTATTTTGTATTCGAAATGAAATGAAGAAAAACAAAACAAAAAGACATCAAATGAAATGGATGCTCTTGCTCTCTTTTAGTTATGTGCGAGAGCTCTCTCTTTCTCTCCGTGTATATGTGTGTTCGTTCTTAACGGAAAGAGTACGTTTGTTTTGTAAATGAATGAAAGTGGGAGGGAGTTTTAATTCTGCTCTTGTTGCTGGTGTTGTTGTTGTTGTTATACTCCTGACAGAAGTGTCGCGTTTCCTTCGAATTCTTTTCTTACTCACACCAAGGCATTATTCGAATGACAATTGTTGTGCTTTATGTGAATTTTCGTTTCTACCAGCATGCTCATTGTATGTATGTACGTTCGTGTAAATGTTTGTGAATGTGGGTATGTGTGTATGTTTGAATTTCTTTTTATTTTGATTTGAAATGAAAATAAAAATAAAATATTTCTTTCTTTTGTGGAATTGTATCTGACTTCTCTTTCGCTCTCACATGTATTTTAGGGGAATAAGTTTGGCTTTGTCTGTCGTCATTCAATGCGGTATCATCTGACGTTTGTTTGTTATTCGTTGGCTAGTTTTTCGATTGTATGTGAATGGTGTGAGGCTGAACGCCTCAGTGACGTAAGGGGGGTGGTACCTAACGTTAGTTTTTTGTTCTTTTTTCGTTTGTTTTTTTTTTTTTGCATTGCGGCGGGCTCGGAGGTTCTCTTTATGTTCTTAACATTTTAATTAAATGATTAATTTGTCATTTTTCCCTCCAAAGGTTGCTGTTGTATTTTTTTCCGTTTGTTTGCCTCTCTGCCGTTTTGGCTCCCTCCCATCCTCTTCTACACCATTATAAAAAGAAAGAAAAAAACAAACGATTTCCCATGGCGTTTGTTGTCTTTGTCATCGTTTTATTTTTTTTCTTCTTTTCTACATTTTCGCGAATGTCAACATTAATATTGAGTTTGTTTTTGCTCTCTGTTTTGTTCGCAGTTTTTTGTTCTTGTTTTTTATCATTGTATGACACTTTTCTTTTAATAATGGAATTTAATTTATTTCTTAATTTCAAATTTGCTTGTTGTTGTTTTTTCTCTGTTTTGTTGGTGAACTTTTATGTTAGGAAATAGGTATGTACGTATGTATGTGCAGGTATATAAATACAATACATAGGTTTGAAAAAGAATTTTAATTACAGAAACCATTCAAAGGGATTTAAATATTGTGAGTATGATTTTTATTAATTATCAAGGTCGATGCTGATGGCTTGGTAGATTTAGCCAAGGTAGTTCTAGTTCTTTCTGTTAATCTAATTAGTGCTAAGGAAGCATATATATAAGCATATAGGTGTATATTGAGCAAATCTGGATATCATTGGGAACCAATAAATTTACTATGTTAAAATAAACATGGGCATTCCTCATCGTAAGATATCTTAATTATATCATATTTCAAAAATTTTTATTCATTTTAAATTTTTAGAAATTTGAATTTTATTCATATTTACGTTTTTGTAATATATTTCATTTATATCCTTCTAAAAATCGTGTTTAAAATATCCTTCTAAAAAATCGTGTTTAAAATATTAATGAATTTTTTTCATATAGGAATAAATTTTGGATTCCAGAAGAAAAGTGTTTTACCAAATTGTAATTCCAAATTTAATTTGAATTTTAAATTTAAGTTTTAAGGATTTATTTCACGAAATTGAATTGCAAAATGGACAATTTTTATTACCATTAAATTGTTCAAATTTCTTGACTTGATTTAAATTCAAATTTATTATATTCAATGTTATAAAACATTTTTCATTTTCGAATCGGCAATAATTTAAAATTTTTACTCTTGATGTTAAAATCCATATGTAACCATTAATTGGAGCTTTTTATTTATTTTATAAACTATGTTTATGATAATGCCCTCTTCGTCTTGGACCTTTAGAATGCCTATTAAAACAAAAACAAGTAAACATGTTGTTAAGTTCGATCCTTTCACAGCGTGATATGTATTCAAAATTCCTTAAATCGGTTAGGACCTTTATAAGGGGTTTGTTCATGTTCTGAAATATAAATGAAATATATATGAAATGTATATCCAAGTTACAGAATAGCACACAGGCTGAAAATTAAACAGAACATTTGTATGGAGGCTATTTTAAAACATTAACCTACTTTGAATAATTTCTGGAAGGAATTTTATATTCACTAGGAATCCGTTATGCCAAATTATGGGGACTTCGATTAGAAAATTCAGTTTAAAAAAATACATTTTTTCGCTCTCAAAGAACCCTGATTGCTAAACCTTCAAAATACAGGCATATTTATGTGGACGTTATTTCAAACTAGGAACCCATTTCGAAAATTCGCTGCGAAATGAGTTAAAATTTACATCTTTCAGAAACCGAGGCAGCTATATCAAATGAGGCAGCCATATTCCGGAATTCCAAATTACTGCCACTGGAAAAGAGAAATGCGACTAAAGCCTTCAACATGCTGACAAAGGGGAACTACCTTTATAAAGCGGCCTATATTGATAATTTTCTGTAAATATGTATTTAAGCCTTTTCGAACCCCTAATGCCAAATTACAGCAACATTGGTGAGAAAGTGCTGTTAAAGTCTTAAAATACCGAAATTGGGTCAAAACCGTTATATGTGGGATATACCGAAACGTAAACTGATATTATTTTTGGTAGAAAGATTTGCCACCACATGAGAACCATTGAAATCAAATTACAACCTAATGAGAACCTATAATATCAAATTCCAATTATGTTAAAAACGTGAACAATAGCTTCAAAATACTGAATATTGTCGTTACCGTTATATGGGGCTACTCTAAAAAGTGCACCGATGCCTTTATGGTGAATATTTCGATGTGAATAACGGCTTATATAATAAATTATTTGTTTTTCAAAATTAGTCAGACTTAATTCCAATTGGTAAGGGGTAACCCAGGGAAGACTAAAATGTCATATTTCACAACTCATCAGTATTTGTTTATTACTCAATCGTCCCTACATCGATGAAGTAATCACGTTATGTTCTGAACGAATCGTTATATAAAAGTTAAATTTTTCGCAGTCTGATATTGGCAGTTAAGTAAAATTCGAAGATTGGCTATACAGTGTGAGATAAAAAAACCTGCAACAAAGTCAAACGCCAAAATATTTATATTTTTTTTTCAAATTTATAATAACTTTAGATTTGTTCGAATTGGTCACCTTTGACACGAAATATGGCCTTCAAAAGGCCAATGAGACCGTCACAAGCTGCCCGAATGTTGCTCTGCGATATTTTGGTCCATTCCCGGCGAAGCGCTTGCTTGAGGTGATCGACACTTTCCTATTTTTTAGTGCCAACCTTGCTTTCTAAAATATTCCAGACACAATAGTCTAACGGATTGGTATCCGGAGATTTTGGTGGCCATTGTGCGCTGGAAATGAAGGGAGGAACGAACCTCACTTTGTAACCATTCTTGGGTGGGGCGTGCTGAGTCCTGGACATTCCAAGGTCTGCGGCCAAAATGTTTGCATGCCCAAGGCTTTAATACACCCTCCAGAATATTTTCGCGATAATATTCGGCATTTATTCTGATGACACGGTCGATTAATACGAGCCGAGGGACCATCGGCTGTTATGGCAACCCACACCATCACCATGGCGCTTGAGTTCTGGTGGGCAATCGAAGGTGCGCATTTTCAGCTGTCCTCTTTGGCAAATAAACACGATCATTTTGATTGTTTACAAACTACTGGATAACGAATGTTTTCTCATCGGAGAAAACCAAATTCAGCAGTTCATTACTTTCGACCAAGCGAAGCAACTCTTTAGCTCGTTTGAGTCTAATTTTTTTCTGTTGCGGTGTAAGTTTTTGCAATTTTTGGAATTTCAATGGGCTCATTTTTCAAAATTTGCCGAATGGAATATTGCGATATGTTTAGCTGAGGAGCCATTTTTCGGCCACTGCAACGCGGGTTTCGATCAAGTCGCTTCTTTACTTTTCGAATCATTTCTGCTGATGTTGCTGTTGTCTTCTGTTCACTTCCTTGACGTCGGGCTACGCTACGCTGATGTTGGTTGTTGTTTTTTCATCTCACTCTGTATATGTTTCCCTTTTAGACACCAGGCTAAAACATTCAAGAAACCGATTTTCGGTTTCTTGAATGTTTTAGCTACATTTTACAACCGACTTACCTTTAATATAGCTTATGCATTTCGAAATTTATTTTATGTATTGAATAATTGTTTATTTTTTCCCCATTTAAAAAACCCCTATTAAAGAAAAATCGTATTTTTTCCTTTTACACTGAGTATGTATTTATTTCAAGTAAATAAATATATAGGTATATAAATATATATATAAGTTTTCTTATTTTCGTATTTGCTTTCCCACCAATTTTCTTTTTTTCGCTCATAGCATTCCATTTATTTGTTGGCAAATGGGTCAGATTGGTGGCGCCCAACCAATCGGAATACGCTGAAAACAGTTTTTCTTTTGTTTGTCGCTTTTCGAGTCGATTTTTATTGTTGTACATATTTTTGTTATTTTCTTATTTTTTCTCTTATTTATTTTTCATGTTTTCTTTCTTTTCTCTATTTCGACTACAATGCTGCTTCTTTGTGAACGATTGAACTTTGAACGGAATTTAATGTGTTACTCCCTGATATATTTTTTTTTGTACTTTAAATGAACATTTATTTTTAGACTACTAAGACTTATAGTAAAACTCTATGGCGAACAGTTTTCAATCATTATTAGGAAAAACCGGAACCGAGAGACCCCTTTAGTGAGTCAAACGAAGGTTAAGAATTTAGATAAAATATTCCTTACGTATTCCAAATCCTTTTCCGAATATTTTCAGTTTTTCATACCCTTTTCTAGTTAACCTACCGATATAAACTTTGGAAAACGTCGATAACTGTCATTTATCAATCAATTGAATTGCTAATACTTAAAATCATATTTTACAAAATATGTTGCATACTTTTAGGCTTAAAAAAATGTGGGTGGAATTTCATACAAATGTGAACATTGAAAGAAGAGATAATTTGCAATCATTCGATTAAGTCGAGGTTTTTACGGTTTAACTTATCATTGATATACATGCGTACATACATACTCGCATACAATCTTAATTCATATAAATAAATTGATATTTGTATACAATTGTATTCCCTCTACCATTGGGTGTTGACATACCCCTACACACATGCATATATATTATGGCTATTAAAGATGTTTTTTTGCATTTATATATTCATAGATATTTTAATTAATTTATTAAATATTAACATAAAGCACTTTGACAATTTTTAATTAAAAACTGTTAATTTTTTGTGGCTTGGTAAAAACATAGTTTTTTATGGGACTAACGTTTTTAATGTTAATGTTGTGGTTTTGCTGTATTAATTTTTTAAAAATATTTTTAGTTTTTTTTCACATATTCAACATATGAAATGAAGGTTAAGTCACGATTAACAGTTTTTAATATTAACAATAAGTTATATATAAGATATTACTACATTCCACCTCAGCTGAATAACGTGTTCTATAGGAAAACTTCAATTCAGCCTGGCTGAATTAGGTTTTCTATAAGAAAACTTCAATTCAGCCTGGCTGAATTAGGTTTTCTATAAGAAAACTTCAATTCAGCCTGGCTGAATTAGGTTTTCTATAAGAAAACTTCAATTCACCCTGGCTGAATTAGGTTTTCTATAAGAAAACTTCAATTCAGCCTGGCTGAATTACGTTTTCTGTAGGAAAACTTCAATTCAGCCTGGCTGAATTACGTTTTCTGTAGGAAAACTTCAATTCAGCCTGGCTGAATTACGTTTTCTGTAGGAAAACTTCAATTCAGCCTGGCTGAATTACGTTTTCTGTAGGAAAACTTCAATTCAGCCTGGCTGAATTTGCTTTTCTATAGGACAACTTAAATTCAGCCTGGCTGAATTAGGTTTTCTATAGGAAAACTTCAATTCAGCCTGGCTGAACTAGGTTTTCTACAGGAAAACTTCAATTCAGCCTGGCTGACTTAGGATTTCTAAAGGAAAACTTCAATTCAGCCTGGCTGACTTAGGGTTTCTATAGGAAAACTTCAATTCAGCCTAGCTGAATTAGGTTTTCTATACGAAAACTTCAATTCTGCCTGGCTGAATTAGGTTTTCTATACGAAAACTTCAATTCAGCCTGGCTGAATAAGAGTTTATATAGAAAATCTTCAATTCAGCCTGGCTGAATTAGGATTTCTAAAGGAAAACTTCAATTCAGCCTGGCTGACTTAGGGTTTCTATAGGAAAACTTCAATTCAGCCTGGCTGAATTAGGTTTGCTATAGGAAAACTTCAATTCAGCCCGGCTGAATTAGGTTTTATATAGGAAAACTTCATTTCAGACTGGCTGAATAAGAGTTTCTGGCTGATTATTCAGCCAGGTTGAATTAGGTTTTTTATATGCAAACTTCAATCCAGCTTTTAATTCAAACCCTACCCTCTATTGTTTATCAGTAATTTTTAAGAAATCGTTTTCCAAAATATCGTTTACCTTTAGCCATATTAAGTGAAAGGATATTAAAGAGCTGTAATATTGCTGATAACATAAATACACTCATATTTTATGAATAATATTAATTTACCCCTATATATTTGTGATTTTGGTTTCTCTCACATAAACAAAGACGCTGCAACCATCAACCCCTTTATGCTCCGAATTTCTGAGAAAACCATACATATGTTGTAATAACCCACTATTATTATTTTTATATTGGAAAAAATGTTCATATTTCGGTGTTTAGTTCGTTCTTTCGAAATTGATTCATGCATTAAATATTAACAATGTCAGAGCAAAACGAGACAACAGCCAACTGGTTGGAAAACTATAATCCCCTATAGTTGTAGTCAAACAAAGCAGTGGATGAATGGTGGTCTCAGTTGTGTTCTGCTCGGTTCTGTTCTAACCCCTAAAATAAGTTGTACATAAAGAAGAAATTACGTTACACTTTTGCCCATCAGGCGAATAGGCAGAGAAGAAGACTGCAATTGTTTAATATCAACCACACAACAACAACAGCAACCATCAGCATTGTAGATGGTAACAATTGCAAAACTCAAGTACCACAATTTTAAGTGGATTATAGAACCATTTTTTATACAAGAACACAAACACACACAGAGAAAAGACCCCGACCGCGCAGAAAAAGCAAAAAAGTGGTGAACTAGCCAACACATTGTTCGCTCTCCAAGACGACAAATTGGAGATAATATTGAAAAATAATACATATACAATACAAAAAAAAAAATAAATAAATAAATAAAATAAAATTTCCTATAACATATTATATTCAGCCAGGCTGAATTGAAGATTTCCATATAGAAACATTTATAAAGCTAGGCTGAGTTGAAGATTTTCTATAGAAACTGGCTGAATTGAAGATTTTCTATAGAATCTATTATTCAGCCAGGCTGAATTGAAGATTTTCTATAGAAACTCTTATTCAGCCAGGCTGAATTGAAGATTTTCTATAGAAACTCTTATTCAGCCAGGCTGAATTGAAGATTTTCTATAGAAACTCTTATTCAGCCAGGCTGAATTGAAGATTTTCTATAGAAACTCTTATTCAGCCAGGCTGAATTGAAGATTTTCTATAGAAACTCTTATTCAGCCAGGCTGAATTGAAGATTTTCTATAGAAACTCTTATTCAGCCAGGCTGAATTGAAGATTTTCTATAGAAACTCTTATTCAGCCAGGCTGAATTGAAGATTTTCTATAGAAACTCTTATTCAGCCAGGCTGAATTGAAGATTTCCTATGGAAAAACTTAATTAAAAAAATAAATTGACCCCGACGTGATTTGAACACGCAACCTTCTGATCTGGAGTCAGACGCGCTACCGTTGCGCCACGGAGTCTGTTGATGCAACAGGTGAACAATACAAACCGCCATACATACATCGCTGTTTGCATGGTCGGTTATTCCGTTAAATTGATTTATTAAACATAGAATTTCAATTACGTTATCAGAAAAATATTGAAAATAAAATATATATTAAAAACTTAATTTAACGGCAAAAATTAATATTACTAACAAATTGATAACCTATGTTATCTGCAGGTGGGAACAGGGAAGCATTCATATATACAGTGGTGGTCACATAGTTAGTACTCCCCCTGCAAAGAAATGCTCTCGTTTCAAAAGATCTATGAACTCGACATAAACAGCAGTAGACAAATAGGGTCTTCGAAGTCGATTCAAATCCAACGAAATTTGTTGGTCGAAGAATCACTTCGAACCTGATGGTTGACTGTTTTTTTTTTCGCCAAAATCGAACAAGTGGTGACTGTTTCGTTTAAGCAACGTGTGACGGTCAATTCTGAAGTCTTCGGAAAAATTCGAAAAGTAACAAAAGAAGACGAATTGGTTTTAAAGCAGCGCCTTTCATTGCATTGACTTGAGAAAGGAAGTCTCCTTTTGTCCTTCACATCTATAATAAATGCCAAAATTCTGGTCCTATTCGACTCCAGAAGATAATGTTGAAGCGATAAAAACCCCATATTATTAGGATTAGGATTCTTTTCTACTGGTAAATATTACTGATAAAAACATGAGGAATATGTTTGCCTTAAATGTTAAGCATCAATTGACTCGCTGCCGGTTAGAACATTCTACAAAAATATTTTCGATAATGTTTTCCTACCAGTCTCCGAATAAACCAAAACTCGAAAACCAGTATAAAATGCAAAAATAGTTTTCCCCACAAGATGTCGTTTTAGAAGGATGGTATCAAAGACGAAAATATACTTAATTAGCTGGCTCGAGACAGAACATTTGTTATGTATTTCTTGGCTCTTCGGTCTGGTGCGGAGTTTTTCCAATTTGAAAGACCATTTTTCCGCATGATCTTTCCATGCAATTCGTGGCCTTCCCGCTTGTTTTTTTTTTAACTTTTTGAGCTGGGGCTTTCTCATTCATTCTCACAACATGAACTAGCCACCGTAGTCGCTGCAGCTCGATATGTCTGACTATGTCGATGTCCGAGTAAAACTCGTGGTTCATTCGATCCATAAACCAGCACGGG